AACAGCTAACCAGTCTTCGAAGTTCTCGTTAGGTGGTAATCGAACAGCTGCTTTTAAATCTAAACCAGAATGGAGCGTAGCTTGAGCCTGTTTATGCAGGTTATAACGCAACGTTCCAGCTGGAAATTTTTTCTTTGGCCGGAATGTCTGCAAATTTGCCAAGAAATAGTCCGTGCACAATGTTTCTCAAGATTAGTTCTGAGGACTACAAACATACGAAATTGCATCCATCGCAACTGAAGCGCTATTCATTTCCAGCATAACTCATGACTTGTTCAATCGATTCTCTAATAAAAACTTATTTTGTTAATGATCTTCCCTTTCCTGAGAAGCGCCCACAGCGAAACATTTAAATGTAGTCTATGAATATGTCATAAAAGCAACTTCGCTTGAGCGTGCTTCACGAAAACCACTAAATAAACGAACCTTATCCTTATTCATCTGCAAAAAATCCAGGAAACTTGACATAGTGGTTAGCTATTAGGAAATCGTATCGCTGTTTTGTCACCAATTCAATAAAAATTCATGAACTTGATCTAAGAATAGAAATACGTGGGAGTGCTGATATATTCGTTCAGTTAATAATTCTGCCTGCGAACCTTTTCTTAAGCCGATGCAGTGCGTGCAACTGCACGTCAACACACTACCTGATGGCCACAGCTTCTACCTTTAAAGCAGTACAGTTTAGTATTGAAAGTGTAATGAAAAGCAATACTCCTTTTTCATATCTTCATTAACATCCTCATACGTCCATCTTAATGCACTTTAATCCAGAAAAACCCTTAGCTCGAGCTATCTATCAACATGGTGGCTCTCTTCAATGTTCAAACTAATCCCTGCAACCAAACAGAAAGTCATCGACGTCAAGTTTCATTCCGTTAACATACAAATACGAATATATATGACTTCAGTTTGTCATCATCTTATTTAGTACCAGAATAAGATGATGACAAATCCATCTCTTCTCACTCTGATCTTACCCACCACCCTCTCCACTCCTTACCTTCCCATCTCACCACGCCTGCCATCTAACCTGGCTTGGAGACCTGTTTTAATGGGGAGCTTAATGCAAATCGTGGTCCACCTGTTTCATTTTAGACTTACGGAATGTAATCCTGATGTCCCACAGCATTCGAGATATATGGGGTCTGTTTGTCGCATTCCCGAATGTGTCACCTAATGCTTTGAATTCTCAAGGTGGCCTGTTCCTTACTTAACTAAGCAGAGGATAAGGCGTGATACGATGCCTTCGGATGTCTGGCAAACTATGATCTCCATCAGTGATGGAAGGTATTGCTTGAAGTTGGATAGTTCAGTCGTTTTTTGTCGTCTTCACGCTATGATTATGTGCGAGAAAATCCACTTCCAAACCCCTAACAGTCCTGATAACTTCTCTCTCTACTGGTTGATCTTATCTTGATTTGTTTTACACTGAATTATATGTAACTCGTGTCAGTGCAACTGGGCGATATTAGTTTATTATACTAGAAAAACAATCATTACAAGTACGATTAGATAATAAAATGCAAAGCAATTAATGCAGTGTTAGATGGAGGAAACAACAATCACTATTTACTACCGGGTAGACTTTTAAGACTTTTTAGTAGAACTGCCTACAAATAGAACATTCACCACAAAAACGTATATTAAAACATTTATGCCGTTAAGGCCCAAGGCCTTCAATGATTCTAGTCGAGGTGAAATTGATTCAACACACCCATCAATATAATACCAATCAAAAAACATATCCACTGCAAAATATTTTGCCTGAAATTGTACCAAGTGATTACTTGGTTGAATGGATGAAGAACAATGCCCTACAAGAATTCACAAATATTCAACGAATTTTTTGAGTAGAACTGTTCGGAAGGTCGCTAACTGTTCAAAATATTAGTTCTTTTTGAGTCTCAACTGGTTACTGAGCTAACATTTATATCCAATCAAAGCTATAATCCAAAAAAAAAAAACAGCTAATTCAGGAGATAGAGTGTTCCCTGGTCGATAGCAGTAATAAATTGATACCTTGAATCGGTCTCTTTCATTAGTTCAGGCAGTATTTGGGCGAGGGCAATATTGATAAAACCACCGGCCGTAAATGGCAGAATGTTCTGAGATGCTTCATTCTTTGTACATTCGGTGTGCAAGAATAACGCTGTGTATGCTCCTAGAGCCCCACCAACTGCGGTCAACAACTGTAATTGTAGGACCAGTCGTAATTTTGTTTGAAACCGATTAACAATTTTAAAAACGGCTTTTTTCATGTCTTTATCATACATTGTTTTCATGAAGAATTTCATATTTCTCAAAGATATCTTCAAAAAACCTAAACGAATGACTAACCTGAGCTCGTACGGCAGACCATCTGTTGAAATCGGCGCGAAGTAAGATGGCAAAGTCGCTAATTTCATGGGGTAGCTCGTGGATAACTATTGAGAATGTTGTCAACAAGCCAAGCTGCAGACAATGAGTTTCAGTTTTATAGCTCTATTAGTAATATTTTGTTTAAGATAACTAAGCTTGAATTGACTACAATTATGAACTCTTTATAGAAAAGTAATTCAATCATCACGGGAATCCACTCGATTAATATAAAATTAATATAAATGTTAGTATGAAATATTATATTAGTATTAAAATTAATATTAATATGAAATATTAAATATTATATTAGTATAAATATAAAATAAGCAATAAAATATAGCAACAGTAATACGCAAGAAATATTAGTAAGTATTATGACATTCCCGAAATATGTCGGTTGAATCAGGCTCTCAAATTTTGTGTCTTCGCCAATTCTATCAACTTTTTTTTTCTTTTTATAAATGGTTGGTATAAATTTGGATCTTTTATTAAAAAACTTTTATAAATATATCTTTGCAAACTTGTGGAAAAGAAAGTTATGAATCAGAGAAATTCAATGGCAACCTTCGTATCCATTAGAAAGGAACCTCCAACGGCTAAACCATGAGTGAAATTGTCCATAAAATTGGCGATAAGATTTAAAACAGCGCACATCTGCAGAAGTTTAAGAGATAAGTTCCTTAATTTCGATCTAATTTGGATTTTAACACAGAAATGCTCGGCTTTTGGAGACAAAAATTGAAAATTAAGATAGTCCTCTTTGTAAGGGATTACATAATTATTACACTTCATCGATAAAATATTTCCGTTAAATAAACTTGTTAGCCAAATTCAAGTTTTTAAAAGAACCCACCCTACGTTGACTAAATTCATTTGTTGAACAGAACTTCTCCAGTATAAAGCAAAATAAAACACCCGCTGTTGTCCAGACACCTGCTATCAATCTATCCACTAGAATATAAAAATTATATTGCTACTTATTTATATACTGCTCTGTATTATTAAGACTAAATATTCACAAATGAAAAAAAAAAAAAACCAACCTTGAGCATCTGCCCAAACAGTTGGAAGTAAATGCAGGAAGACATCACCAATCAAACTTCCAACAGTGAAACTCAACAGAAGATGTAAGCTTCGGCGACCATCTGAAATAACACATTGCGAAGAACAGAAATCTCACAAGAATAGCATGCACAAATACTTATTGACTCTCAGTATGATTCAACAGATCATTTTTAGCTCAGTAATTTAGAGAATTCTTATTACTCATAGATTTGAAAGTTGCATTAGGAACTGCATGTCTAGAGAAAATTCGTTTTCATTTTCGATACATCCTGAAGAATATACTTTTGACCTACAAAAAACTTACAGTTTGATTGCAGAAACTCCGTGAAATCATGTGGTAAAATAAATGCAGGAATAACGCCGCATGCAATGATGCAAATGCAACCAAGTGCTGTCCACAGGCAAGTATCCCATGAAATCAATTCCTTACCATTTTTTTTTGCTATATGTTGCAGAAGTTCCCTTTCTTCTTGCAGTTCTTCTGCATGCCTACAAATTAGTTAGAAAAAGTTAATTATAAAAAAGTACTGAAAATGAGAATTTTTGTCATACCCAAGTGAGTTGTCATTCTAGAATCAATGCTAAGCTGAATTTAGATTGACTGCAATGTTGACTTGTATTGTCAGTGATTAGCAGTCAATGCTGAATAAAGAAGTAACTAATAACACTTTTTACTAACGATTAATTTGTACTGTCATTCTTAAAAGTAATAGGTATTACTTTTGTTCCAATCGTCTCGAAAAAGCAACGATACGGCCATCCGGATCAACCAATGTGTCAGCTGGCATCTCACCATGGGTGTTTAGGTCTTCACCAGTTTTTTCGAGAGTAGTGGGAAGCATTTTTGGCAATATATCATTACCGCCAATATCAGGCGCTGGTAGCTGATCCAGCTCTGAAATATACGAATATAAATATTACAAGAAATTTTATGAATTAATCGTTTAAATCTCATTCCAGACTTATTTTATAAAAGTTTTTTTTTTTTTTTAACGAGTGCATTTTCCACTCACAGCAATCGTTCATTAGTGAACATCATTTCGGCTTTATATTAACTCAGATTACTAGATTACAGAAGTGGTAGAAACAGACATCTTTTCTGCTTAAAGCATTTCCACCTCTATCAATAGAAAATGTTTAGCACAACAACAGAATGTAAAATTTACAAATAAACGTAACTCTCTAAATCTAAGATTTATCCGATTATACCTAATATGCGTAATTGATATATGTATAACCTACACGCCATAAATTTAATCAAAAAATGAAAAAATCGGTTACGTTGTTCGAGAAATATTTGTTGAGCACTTGTGGGACATAATAATACAGCAATGAATAATAGTAGTTGTAAAACTGATCGGCTTGCCATACCTACTGAATGTATAGATTTTAACTTTATTTCAAATTCTTTTATCTTACCGCATGCAATTCGAAAAGATTTCTTATACACAGTGTTTCATAATCCTCTTTGTAACAACTTTTGGATGTAAAAAAAATAGTGAAACTTTAAGTGTATCTAAATGAAGAGTTAAGAGGAATTGGAGAAGACATGAGTGAAGAACATTGGCTATTAGATGCCTGAGATATCTCTTCCGAGAAATGACAATAGCATTCGTGTCTATCAGGAAATCCGTGTTCTTCAGATTGGAAACCGTGGAAAACAAATGGCGAGAGGACGAGAAAAATTCCGCAGTGCATGGAATAATGGATGGCTACGAGAATTGGAAATCGAGAGGTCAGCATGAAATAGGTTTTTTTACAACGAGTACTGACCGAAAGATTGCAATGAAGGTGATCGAGCGGTTAATTAGAGCAAAAGGAGAAAAGGTGGTAAATTGAAATGGGAGAAGAATAAGGTCATTTAGATTTTTATGTGAAGGGCAGCACTATGAAGAAATGTCTTTGCAGAAGATTGGTTTCATTTTAGATTAGAAACAAGTTTTTCGAAAGAAGCAAAACGGGATGCTCGATCAGTATAGTAGATGGATAGTACCTTCACTCCTCTTAAACTTAAACCTAAGGACAAAATTTCCCTCTATCCATCAACAACATAACAACAACAATTTCGGTCCACTCCTTGCACTCATGCGTGCATAAAGCGTCAAGGTTAGCGTTTCATGCTGCACACTGCGTTGTGTTGCGTTGCGATCCGTAATAAAACGCATTCAGAAGATCTCAAGTCAACATTTTGTCACATAGAAGGGATATGATCATTCTCTACAACGTTCTGATTGTAATGCTCAAATTGAAATAATTAATGATGCACAACGTTGCATGCAGTAACGTATTCAAAACAAAACAACCAGCGCAAACAGTACAAGTATCATTGTCATCCAAACATGGCGGAAAGTATAAAAAGACTCCGACTGGAGTATTCTTCTTTCAGTGAGTTTTTTTGGCACACCCAGATGGTTATGTATGATACGGCATAATATGTAATATGGGGTGCAATTTATCTGCCCGTTCTGACAATGAAACCAGTTTCTTCAGGTTTTGAAACATATTGAAAATAGAAAAGGTTGTAGGAAGCAGAAAGAAAACAACACATCATTTCATTTCATATATGATAGTCATCAGAGTGTTTCATCTAAAATTTACTCTTTATATTCGCTAATACAGCAGCATTTATCAGTGTAGCTAAATTCTTAGTATTATTAACTCAGTTCTGCAAAATTTCAGTTCATCTTATCTAGTTAACAAGAACAGAATCATCGGGAGTTAGTTAAATCTTTAAGAATGGATTTATTCTGCTCATTTTCTTCCGAACTTGCTATTAATTAACTTTATGAGGCGAATAACGGTACTGCCAACTCATTTGCTAAATTGGTAATGAAGTAAGATAACTAAGTACGCCATTATTGTGTGCATCATATAACAGGAAGAAAGGACAGATGTGAAATGGAGCAGAGCAGTGGGACGAGATTAAATAGGAAGGAATATAAAGGAAGGAAGAGGAGGAGGATTGGAGGATCGGATAAGAAGGACAGCTGAGATGAAGAGGGGCGATAAGCTAACTAACTTCAAATGACGACGACAGGTGTACACGATATGAACAGTGGTGTTGGAGAAGAGAACGTGAAATGCTGTAATGTTAAGTTCCTGATAGAACACGACTACCTACCGTTTCCGATCGAGGATCATAAGGAGAGGGAAAAAGAGAGAAGTCGGAGAAAGACGGACTCACAACATAACACAACAACACATCACTTGTCTATATTCGAAATAACACGAAGAAATTTGAAAATTCCGGTTAGCGTTCAGACCAATTAAGCCATTGTTATTATTTGTATGCACACATATGCTCACTCTTGTAAAAATAGTTGAGAAAAGAAGTTGATTATATTTGCTGTCTTATTCAATGAATCAATTGTAGCATACTAATTTGATGTTCATCAACAGTGTCACACGAAACCTTTCCCTTCTATAATTCAATGTAATTAGGGTTGAAAGCTTCCAGGAAATTGGTTCAAAGATCGATAATCAGATTACTAAAATGTTAATCCAATCTAATGCAATACTGCAATATTTTGGTACCATTTTTTACATGAAACATGATCTCTAAAATTGAAATAAGAAGTATACAGAAAATAGAGCTGATTTAACAATCAACAAGATTTCTACCTACCCTTTTCTTTATATCTCATTCACTCTACGTAACAAATATAAAACAAAGAATGATCAAGATGCATTACTGTTCATGTATGTATATACCTGAGTCCATAATTCAGTCATTGACACAGAACAGAAAAGGGAACTAACCAATATTCTCCTTTCATTGTAGCAAATTTTCCCTCCTACCTCTCCTTATCATACTACTCCGTAGCACACTAGCAAGATTGTCGCGAGACTTTGAGAGATAATACATCCAGTTAAGATTGTTCGGGAATGACCAGTTAAAATACATTCCTTTCCAGCCATATCGGAAATTGTGGCATGCAGATTTCTACATTTTTCACATTCATCTTGAAACTTCGATTCACCTTCGTTAACCGGGTCATCTCATCATATTTTCCCACTGCACTGTTCTTATTTAGTTCAAGTGTAAGAGATATTGTGGGAAGGAGGCTTTCCTCAAGTTTTGAACATTTGACATAACTACTGGCATACACAATGCGATTTCTCTTTCAATTCTTCTGCATTCTTGCCCTTAAACAAGAATTAAAGTCATCATTTCTCGATTAATTTTCCCAGCGGAATGCTATTGCAGCTGTCCTAATAAAATCTTTATTTACAGAACTATAACAAGTGAATGAACAATAACTTTATGTGAAAGCAAAGTGCGGTGAGCTTATGAGAAATATTCATTTGCATACAATAGCAAAAACTATTCTAATATCCACAAATCAAAAACCGGTAAATGAGCAAATAATTATAATACACTGATTGTTATCATAGAATGATCGAACGCGCGACCAACATTACCAGTGCACTGAGGACACCTGCAACGGACCACATCCTAATCATAATAAGAATGAACTTTTTAAATATCCTTAGAAGGAACATTAACAAGCCGCAGAACTGAAGTAAACTGTTATCCAGATGATACTATGTGCCTCTTTCGAAATGCAAATGCCCTTCCGTGTTTGACCTGCAGTTGTGCTATAATCAGTGATGTTACTCATTTAATAATTAGACCTAACTATTCCTGCAACTCTACTAAAATTTACAGCTATTTTTTGGAACTTAAAGGAAAAATTGAATATGTAGGAAATAAAAATAGATAAAAAAATACAGCTACCCGTAACAGGTAAAGTAACAAGCCAAGACAACGATATATTCCGGAAAGTAGACCACTTGACAGAGCCGCTCGCCTGTATCACACCAACTGCTACCACACTACCAACCTGAATATTATAGAGATTTACCAAAATGATTTATGTGCTTCATATCTCAAGAAGTAGCAACACAACACTACTAAATCTGATACATATGCAAAATAAATTTTCCAGTTAGACGGACAGTTGCAACAAAAAACACAATAAATGAAACCTTGCATTGTGTGGAGCTTACGGGAAGACCAAATTTGCTTGAAGCTAACACTGTTACAGCAGCACCAAATTCGATTGCAAAACCACTGAAATTAAAATGCCAGATTAAAGTTTGTTTTAAAATAATGAAGTTGAAATGAGATATTTAAATTTCATAAAATTGTAGGAAATGCGATGTTAATGAACGGTATTGCCAATATTAAATCAATAAAAAAGTCCTCTCATTCTACCTTGGAGGTGTGATTTTGGTGAGATTCTCACCAACCGTATAGATAACCCGATGCCCCAATACCCAAAGACCAACACACATGCCACAAGCACCGTAAAGCAAAAGCCAAACAGGTGTTGTAGATCGTTGCAACACTGAATTCTCCTTATAAATAGCATACAGTGACACCAGCGGAGCAATTGCGTTGCTAAACAATTTTTGAAATGAGGGGTAAAAGTCTAAAAATCCGACTTTTTACAAGTAAAATCACACATAATAAACAAAATTTCGAAGAAAATCTGAACTTCTGAACTTTACTAATAAAACCATTTAATACATATCCGTCTCAGTTGAACGCATCAAAAATTACAGAAATTTATTAAAAGTTAACAAGCTGTGTACCGAGATGGATTTCATCGAATTTAAGAACTGTACAAAATTTTAAATGAAATGGTCACACCTTACATCGTTGCCTCCGTGAGCGAAACCAGCGAAGCAAGCTGTAAGCACCTGAAGGAAACTGAACAACTGAGATGCTTGCGGATCCTCCGGTTTGGAAGAACGAAAAAAGGTTTCGATACTTCTTGTTGGTCGTACCATATTTGTGCCCAAACCATGGTGTCCGTCGGTGTTACTTGTTTGAAGATTGTTGGATACCACTCCACTTTCCTCCTCTACCATAATAGTGATATTAGTATTGCTATCATTGTTGTTTAACAAATCAACAGATATTTCAGCTAACTGTTGTTCTCCGCTACTAGTTGGTCCCAGTGTCAGATGCTTTCCGTCTTCATAGTGCAACAGTGAACGTGCATCTGGAACAACAGCAGCATTTCCAACTAAACAGCTACTTTGAAATAAAGCCTGGTATGGATAAAAATCGATCCCTTTTTTTATTTTACATGTACATCATATTTTTAGTTTTTAGAGAGAGCCTTTTTAGGTCCCATCTAAACAGAAATTGAAACCGAAGTGATAACCCAGAAATAGCGAATCAAGCAGAGCCGGGCTTAGTAAGCTTTCTGCAGCTTCTGTTAACAACAAAATGCTTCAAGAAATCGCAAAAAATATTAAAAAAAAAATAAAAATCAATCAGCGCAAGAACAAAATCTATGCTTCGAATTCAGCGTCCATTACTGTTTTTGAAAAATTTAACACCTATTTCAAACGTAGGGGTCCTTATACGAAATCTCTATATCACTTTAATTCCCATATAAAATGTTAAAAATCTTGGCCTGCAAATACTTGACTAAATGCACTTACATGTTAGCTGATAACGAGTATTACAGCAGAGAAAAGCATTAATATGAGAATAACAAGATTTTTTACCAGTTACTATTTCTTACTTCGGATTATTATGTCAGAAACTCAACCCGCCTACTTCACTTTTGCTTCAAACAAACATGCAGAATCTCTTATACAAAATTCTGAATCTAGTTTTAAAATATATATTTTATATATTCTTTGAAATGAATATTCACTATATTTTGAAACACTGTTTTAACAAAAGTATGGTTTTAATAGTTGACTGGTGTTTTGCCAAATTTCAAAACAGGGTTAGGAAACGAACTAGAAGGAAACATTCAAATCATTCCACTCGATCCCTTCAGTGATGTTTCGTCCAAGCAACACTATACTTGCGGAAGTGCTTTCAATTCTTTTATAAGAATTCATTTTACTAGTTGCATAATTTTAATATCGCCATAAAGAGAAACGCTCTTATCAAATAACAGTTTTACCCTAGCTTACGGTTCACGCCAATACACTTTAAAATTAAAATTCATTTTTGTTAACTTAATAACTTTGGAATGATTATTCACACATTCCAAAATTTGGCATTTTCAAGACAACAAAATGTGAATTAAACTAGTTGTCTAAGTAACACTAATGTAAAAAAAATTTACAAATGCTGGAGACTAAAATAACAGGGTAAAAATAGTGAACAATTTTCTGATAAAAACTCTAAGAATTCACAAACATTCTCTTTATTCAACGACTAATTTTACAACTGGAAAATACCCATGGAAAAAATGTTCCAAAAAAAAAAATCTTTTTTCTGCATGCCAAAGATGGCAGCATCAACTTTTGAGAAACAAGATGCTATGGTTGGAAAAATAATGAAATCCAAAAATTAATTCTATTACATCGATCTATGTTTTACATTAAAAACGCCTTACCTAAAATGCGCTTTTTCAGCTGCGGCGCCATAATAAAATGCACAAGCAATGCAACAACTGCTGCTACACTAAATGTTATAACCAGAACAACCCACGCCGGTATCTCGTCGAAGCCCAAAACTGCAAAAGTTATCACTGAACCTTAAATTTCAATCCAATACAATATCTGCAAACAACGACTTTATTACAGATGTTTCACTTTTTTAAGAAATATGCAATATGCTTAAGTTCCTTGAGAGAGAAAAATCTTTTGACTAACAAAACTCTACTCGTGTCAAGAATTCTTGTGTCAGTGTTTGTAATGCATTAAAGAAGTATTATAGATTTGCAATAAAATTTAAAAGCAGCAAAGAGCAGAAGTTATGACAAACAAAATTTTGAAGCTATTAGTAATTAAATGCTTTCCTAAAAACATACATTCAGAACCATTGTACATAACGGCAAAAACGTTGACAGCTACACAGATGAAATACAAAACAGGTAGAAGAATTAGACCACAGTGCAGAGGACGACGACGTCGCAACACAGCATGGTCAATGAAAGAATAAAAAAGAATTGAAACGATGCCCGAAAGCAACGGTGACAGAAACCATGAGATAACTGAAATAAATAACTCTGTAAATGTTCATCGTTCACAAACAAACCTAAAACTAATGAATTTGGATTTTAAAGACATTTTTCCAAATTAGTTACACATGTTACAACTGCAATTTTGTAAGCGAGACATAGGTCACAGTGCGATTTCGTTCGGTATTCATAAATGCGAAATATGAAAATCTACTTTAAATCCAGTTTATTTTCGAAGCAAAAACGTTACCAACTGTGAGGATAATGAAGAAAAAAACCAAAGACTGGAAATTACTTTGGCACAGATGTGGCGTAACTCACATATGCGGATGACTGGCCACCATCGTATTCCCTGCGTACCACGGGCTAACAAAGAATAACCAAGAGTCGCTCCGACAATACTATGGGTCGTTGACACTGGTAGCTTCAAAAATGTTGCTATAAGCAGCCACGCACCACATCCTGAAAAATTCCTTTGGTGCTTTAACTCAAATTTCAAATTTGAATTGCTTGGAAGGAAGAGTAAATTTGAATTTTAAAATGCATGTCTACGCAAAAAAGATTTATTAAAAGTATTGTGTTTCAAAATGATATTTCGAAGTTACTAAACAACGTCTAGACA